CCCTCAAACCCTCCGCCTTGCCCCCCCTCCTCTCTCCCTCAATCCCTCTGCCTTGCCCCCTCTCTCTTGCTCTCCCTCAAACCCTCCGCCTTGCCCCCCCCCCCCCCCCCCCCCGCTCTCTGCCTTGGGATGTCCTCCCGACACGAAAGGCACCATGTCAGTGTAGTGTTGTTGCTGTTACCGATCACCGTGGGCTCCAGGTCCAAAAACACGGCCCGGGGAACGTGTTTGCCGGCCCCCGTCTCGCTGAAGAAGGTGTTGAAGGAATCATCTCCGCCCCCGATGGTCTTGTCGCTGGGCATCTGCCCGTCGGGTTGGATGCCATGCTCCAGGCAATACAGCTCCCAGCAGGCGTTGCCAATCTGGACACCGGCCTGGCCAACATGGATGGAGATACACTCGCGCTGGGGGGGGGGGAAGAGAGAGAGAGAGGGAGAGAGGGGTGGGGCGGGGGAGCAAAATAGCACACCGAGAGAGTGAGAGAGAGGGGGGGGGGAGGAAGGATTGACCAATTATATCAGAGCAGATGAACATGGCAACTGCAATAATCATTGACGTCTCAAAGCGTTTCACGGGTTTCACTGTAAAGTGTAGTGACTCTCTCCCCAATCCCTCTGCCTTGCCCCCTCTCTCGTGCCCTCCCTCAAACCCTCCGCCTTGCCCTCCCTCTGCCTTGCCCCGTCTCTCCCCCTCTCTCAATACCTCTGCTTGCCCCCTCCCCCTCCTCTCTGCACCCCCCTCTCTCCACACACAATCACAGACACACACACACACATATACCTGGGCATCAACACACACAGACATACACATACATGTACCTGGGTATCAACACGCACACAAAACCCAACAGTAAGATCCCTGCCTGTCCACAGGCGACCCAACCCAAGATCTCGGTGTGTCCAACCCTTCACAGGCGGCCACACAACCCAACCACACCAACCCCCAGATACCTGGGTATCAACACAACCCAACCACACCAACCCCCAGATACCTGGGTATCAACACAACCCAACCACACCAACCCCCAGATACCTGGGTATCAACACAACCCAACCACACCAACCAGATACCTGGGTATCAACACAACCCAACCACCACCAACCCCCAGATACTGGGTATCAAACAAACCCCAACCACACCAACCCTCAGATGCCTGGGTATCAACCCAACCCAACCACACCAACCCCAGATACCTGGGTATCAACACAACCCAACCACACCAACCCCCAGATACCTGGGTATCAACCCAACCCAACCACACCAACCCCAGATACATTCAACACAACCCAACCCAACCACACCAACCCCCAGATATTTGGGTATCAACACAACTCAACCACACCAACCCCCAGATACCTGGGTATCAACACAACCCAACCCCAACCAACCCCCAGATACCTGGGTATCAACACAAACCCAACCACACCAACCCCCAGATACCTGGTATCAACCCAACCACACCAACCCCCATACCTGGGTATCAACACAACCCAACCACACCAACCCCCAGATACCTGGGTATCAACACAAACCCAACCAACCAACCCCCAGATACCTGGTATCAACCCAACCCCACCAACCCCCAGATGCCTGGGTATCAACCCAACCCAACCACACCAACCCCCAGATACCTGGGTATCACACCCAACCCAACACACCCAACCCCAGATACCTGGGTATCAACACAACCCAACCACACCAACCCCCAGATACCTGGGTATCAACACAACCCAACCACACAACCCCCAGATACCTGGGTATCAACACAACCCAACCACACCAACCCCCAGATACCTGGGTATCAACACAACCCAACCACACCAACCCCCAGATACCTGGGTATCAACACAACCCAACCACACCAACCCCCAGATATTTGGGTATCAACACAACCCAACTTCCACCACCCGACTCTCTGTGTCCCTCCCAGGGACCTGACCCCTTCTCCTGCCAAGCCCAGAGGTCCTGAATGCATTCCCTTCAACTTTTGGCATTGGGTTCACCTCCTACCCCAAGACCCCAACACCTGGGCTCCTCAAGACCCCAACACTTGGGCTCCCCAAGACCCCAACACCTGGGCTCCCCAAGACCCCAGACCCGGACAGCCATTGACCCCACACTAGACTATCCTTCCACCTCATACCTCCTCCCCAGGTTCCTGGGTGCCCACACAACCCAACTGCACCAACCCTTGGCTGAGGGGCTCTCTCCCTCACTCACTCCCACCCTCCCTCAATTCCTCACCACCCGCCCCTCCCTCATTCACTCCCTCACACAGTCATTCCCTCCCTCATTGAATCCTCCCTCCCTCCCCATCACTCACCATCTTGCTTCGTCTGTGTCTCCAGAGAGAATGGTTCAAATCCACCCGCCAACGCGAGGTTCAAATAAAGCCCAACGCTCATTGGTCCATTGGAAACACGCCTCCTGGTTGCCAGGACGACGCAACCCAACCCGGAAGTCCTGCATTGAGGTACCATCCCATCCCCTCAAACCCCAATACTGACTCCTCGCCCCAATACTGACCCCTTCCCCCCCAATACTGATTCCTACCCCCAATACTGACCCCACCCCCAATACTGACCCCTTCCCCCCAATACTGACTCCTACCCCAATACTGACCCCTTCCCCCCCAATACTGACTCCTACCCCCAATACTGACCCCTCCCCAATACTGACCCCCTACCCTCCAATACTGACTCCTACCCCCAATATTGACCCCTTCCCCCCCAATACTGATTCCTACCCCCAATACTGACCCCTTCCCCCAATACTGACTCCTACCCCCAATACTGACCCCTTCCCCCCCAATACTGACTCCTACCCCCAATACTGACCCCTTCCCCAATACTGACCCCCTCCCCAATACTGACCCCTCCAATACTGACCCCTTCCCCCAATACTGACCCCTCCCCCCAATACTGACCCCTCCCCAATACTGACCCCCACCCTCCAATACTGACTCCTACCCCCAATACTGACTCCTACCCCCAATACTGACCCCTCCCCAATACTGATCCCTCCCCAATATTGACTCCCACCCTCCAATACTGACCCCTTTCCCCAATACTGACCCCTCCCCAATACTGACCCCCTCCCCAATACTGACCCCTCCCCAATACTGACCCCCTCACCAATGCTGACCCCTCCCCAATATTGACCCCCACCCTCCAATACTGACCCCTTCCCCCAATACTGACCCCTCCCCAATACTGACCCCCACCCTCCAATACTGACCCTTCCCCCAATACTTACATCTCTCCCAATACTGACCCCACCCCAAATACTGATCCCTACCCCCAATACTGACCCCTATCCAATGACGACCCCACCCCACCATACTGACCCCTTCCCCAATACCGAACCCACTCCCCAATACTGACCTCTCCCCCAATACTGACACCTCCCCCAATACTGATCCCCCCAATACTGATACCTCCCCCAATACTGATTCCCCCCAATACTGACCCCCCCAATACTGAGACCCCAACCCAATTTTGAAACCATACCCCATGCCCCCCTCCCCCCCCACTCCACTAACCGCTGTCTCCGCTCGGACTGGCTTCAGCCAGTTTGTCCCTCGTGCTCCCCACCCCACCATCGGTGTCCACACTCTCAGCCTGTGATATATAATAATAATGCTTTACAGTGTGTCCTGTGAAGCTCTTTGAGACATGATGGGGAGTCCTGTAGCTCAGTGGTTCAAGTGAGAGACCTGAGTTCAATTCCAGGCAGAGGGCGAAACCTCGGGCAAGTTTCCTTACCCCACACAGGGCCTAATAATAATCCCTCCAAAAAAAACCGAAACAATAATAAATTGGTCATTTTCAATCCACGACTGTTTGTGGGACATTGCTGTGTGCCATTGGCTGCCGCGTTCGCCCACAAATATACAGTCAATTCACTTTACAGTGTGTTCTGTGAAGCGCTTTGGGACGTCCTCCCGACGTGAAAAGCGCTATATCAAATGCCAGGATTATTATTATTATTATTATTATTATTATGATGATGAGGCGCTGTATCAAATGCCAGGATTATTATTAGCGTTTACTCCACAGGCCTCTGTTTACCTGTGGGAACCCGGTTCTTAGGCGATTGGCGGATCGCTTTTCCACAGGTAATAATCCCTTAAGAAAAGTAATAATTTGGTCGAGCAATCAACGACCGTTTGCGGGGACACTGCTGTGCGCAACAGGCTGCTGGGTTCCTACTTACTGCTGGATAAACATGTATGTGTCTGTGCGTGTGTCTGCGTGTGTTTGTGTCTGTGAGACTGTATGTAAGGAAACTTGCCTAAGGTCGGACCTTGGGCGAGGTGAGGGGTCTAACCCCTGGAGCTAACGGGATAGGGGTAGAGGACGTCGCACATATTTGCAGTCCGCGTCCGAACTCTAAATATATTTATTCTATTCAGTGCACATCTCGCAATATACGGGCGAAGAAAAGACACCACGAACGAGCGACTTTTTGTTTTTTTTTCCGGTGCCCTCGTTATTCCTCATTGAACGACTTTTTATCCAGTTCGGCGGTATCGATGGCAATCTCTTTGTAATCCTGCTCGAGAGACGCCAGGTCCTCCCGAGCCTCCGCAAACTCCCCTTCCTCCAGCCCCTCGCTCACGTACCAGTGGACGAAGGCTCTCTTCCTGTACATCTTGTCGAACTTGACGTTGAGGCGGCCCCAGGCCTCCACGATGGCCGTGGTGTTGGCGAGCATGCACACGGCTCGCTTCACCTTGCCCAGGTCGCCCCCTGGCACCACAGTCGGGGGCCGGTAATTGATGCCAACCTGCGGGAACGAGAGCGTAAGCCCTTTGCACCTCGCGCAGATGTCGTCTTCGGTAAGTCCCCCAAATACCCACAAAACACGCAGTCACTACGCTTTGCAGTGTATCCCGTGACGCGCTTTGAGACGTCTCGACGACGTGATAAGGAGCCGGGTCACATTGGAAGGACTATTATTGTCCATGGAGGTCGTGGGCATGAAGCAAGCGGGAGGGTTCACGTGGGGTTGGAAGGACACAGAGGTCGGGGTGGCCCACGGTGGTGGGGGGGGGAGCGAGGCCATGGAGGGCTTTCAAGGTGAGGACCAGGATCTTGAGCTGTATCCTGTGTGTGATGGGGAGACAGTGGAGTCGGGGGGAGGATGGAGGATGGTGTTGGGGTGCGGAGCCCGGCCCGGGAGAGGACACGGGCTGCAGAGTTAGCTCTGGATGATCCGCAGCATATGGAGGGAGGAGTTGGGGGGAGAGGAGACCAACGAGGAGGGAGTTAGTGTAGTCGAACGTGGATGTGATTAATGGGGGGATGAGGGTTGAGACGGTGAGGGAACCAGGCGATGTGGCGGTGGTGGGGGAAAGGCATAGAAGGTCATGGGACGGATATGGGTGACAAAGGACTGTTGAGGGTCAAACAGGGAATGAGGGTAATCGAACCTGGATGTGATGAATGAGACGTCTCAAAGTGCTTCACAGGACACACTGTCGGTCGAGTGTAGTGACTGTGTGTTTCGGGGGCCAATGGCGGCAGCCGATCGCGCCCCAGCGACGTCCCCACAAACAGCCGGGGGTCGAAGTGACCGAATTATTATTGTTTTGAAGGGATTATTACCCCCGAAAAGTGATCCCTCAATCGCCTGACAAGCGGGTTCCTACTGACTGCCGGGGACACAGGCGCGCTGTGTGTGTGTGTGTGTGTGTGAGTGTGTGTGAGTGTGTGGGGGGGTAAGGAAACTCGCCCAACGTTTCGCCCTGACCTGACTTGCCCGGGAACCGAACCCGGGTCCTCTCGCTTGCGAGGCGAGGGTTCTTAACCGCCGAGTTACCTTGAATCCGGTCGGGCACCAGTCCACAAACTTCACCGTGTGTTTGACCTTCATCTTGGCGATGGTGTCGGTGATCTTGTTGGCCACCACGTCCCCTCGGTACAGCAAGCAACAGGCCATGTACTTGCCCCGTCTCGAGTCACACTTCACCATCTGGTAGGCCAGGTCGAAGCAGGCTTCGGTGATCTCGGCACCGGGAAGTGGGCGTAGGATCCCTCCTTCGAAACAATGGGGGCGAAGGCCGCCAGCGGGAAGTGGATGCGGGGATAGGGCACCAGGTTGGTCTGGAACTCCGTCAGGTCCACGTTCAGGGCCCCATCGAACCGCAGCGAGGCCGTGATGGACGACACGATCTGCGCGATCAGGCGGTTGAGGTTGGTGTAGGTCGGGCGCTCCACCCCGAGCTTGTTGGCGCACAGGTCGTAAATGGCCTCGTTGTCGACCATGAAGGCGCAGTCGGAGTGCTCCAGGGTGGTGTGGGTGGTCAGGAAGTTGTAGGGCTCGACCACGGCGGTGGAGATCTGGGGCGCGGGGTAAACGGCGAACTCCAGCTTGGATTTCTTCCCGTAGTCGACGGAGAGCCTTTCCATCAGCAGGGAGGCAAAGCCGGAGCCCGTTCCTCCTCCGAAACTGTGGAAAATGAGGAACCCCTGGAGCCCTGTGCAGAGGTCCGCCTGCGGGCAAAAAAGAATTGGGCCTCAAATTATAAGCGTCGTTCAATACATTTCATAAGGTGCTATAACAAGTGTAAGGATTATTACTATTATGGTTACAGAGGCAAAAGTATTATTTCTGTGAACGTCTGAGGAGCATCGGACTGTATTCCAACCTGGAAAGTCTTGGAATACCATTGAACATAGGAACAGGCGGAGGCCATTCAGTCCCTTGAGGCTGTTCTTCCATTCTCCCACATCCTGCCTGATCCGGACCTCAACTCCATTTGCCCGGTATCCCTTGATCTCCTGACCCAACAAACATCTCTCCGGCTCAGTCTGGACAGTGTGAATGGATCCGGCCATAACCCCGCAGCCTTTTGGGGGAGACGGACAGAGATTCCCACTGGCCTTGGGACGCAAAACTGTGGTGGGTTTCCGTGTGTGTGTGTCAGACACCCGGCCGGTCGCGGTGACGGGTTTCCGTCCGTGTCAGACACCCGGCCGGTCACGGTGACGGGTTTCCGTGTGTGTCAGACGCCCGGCCGGTCACGGTGACGGGTTTCCGTCCGTGTCAGACACCCGACCGGTCACGGTGAAAGGTTTCCGTCCGTGTCAGACACCCGGCCGGTCACGGTGACGGGTTT